TAGGATTAAAACTAAGAGATGGATGATGTATTTTAGATTGAAGAAAATGGATTTTTGATATACAGTCTTTATATGCGCGATTTTACTAGGAAGTACTCCTTGCAAATAAATCCATGCGTAAAAATCTCTGCATATAGACAGAAACGTAAGACCCGACTAAACTTATAAGGAGGAAATATGAAGAGAATGATACACAGTAGTCCACGATAGCAAGCTACATGAAGGAATAAAGTCAAATGGGATAAGACCATAAACTAAGGCAACACTACTCTTCTTTCCTAGGTCTAAGCCTTCATAAATTCCAATGACATAAACGTATAAAAAGTAGAAGTCATGGAAAGTACTGCAAAGTCATTAAAAGAAGGCAGAGATGACACACCCTATGGATGTGACCCACATTAGGAAGCTAGCTCTCAACCATGCGTTGGGGGCAGCCTACTACCCTACCTCCCCCTTACCCTATTGTATATGGGAATAGGGTTTTGTTGTTGTTGTTGTTGTTGTTGTATGTTGAAATATGAGTTTTTATTGAGGTTTACAAGTATATTTCACTTGTCAAATAAGTAAATAAGGGATTAGAAGCATTGGAGGTGATTACAAACATGTTAGAAAAAATGGTATGATTCTTGGGTTGGAGTATTCTTTAGAGAACTTGGGTGTTATAAGAAGCTAAATGGAGGAAAATTAGTTGGGTTAAGTGATATGTTTAAAGGTATTGTTGGAGGTAAAAGTAAGAAATTTAGACGAAACCTGGGTAAAAATTTTGAAAAATGAAAAATATGGGTAATAATATCGATACTGGAATAACAATATCGATACTATAGGTTTAAATTTGAAGAATTATGATGAACATTATCGATAATGATTCAATTAGTAACGATACTGATATGGGTATTGATTCTAAGAGAAAGGTGTCGATTTCATGGATTCCAGAATGCAGAAATGGTATTGATACTGAAAGGGAGTATCGATACCATAATATAGAAGTATTGATACCATAGTATAGAAGTATCGATACCATGGTAGGGGTACCGATACTACTGAGCCTGGAAAATTTAAGATAGGAGGAATTTTAATAGAAATTGAATATAATAGTACTCTTGAGTATTATTAAACGTATAGATGTCATGTGTACTTAATGAATGATTGTGTAGATCATAACCAAGCTCCCGAGTCAAGCAAGAAAAAGGGCAAGGATAAGGTTGTCAAGTAGTTGGACTTAATTACAACATGCTAGGGAGGTATATCAGGTGAGTGCATTTATTATAATTATATGGGATGAGAAAGGCTCGCAATGAGTCAACCTCTAATGTTTTGATTTAATATATGTTTTACAGTATTTGATATATTTTATAATGTTATGGAAATGATATTATGAATAAATTTAGAGTATGAACTACTCTATAATGAAAGTTAAATGCATAATGGTGCATTTTTGGCAGAAAGGTGCCACTAATTCAAGTTAAATGTATAAAGATGCATTTTTGGCAGAAAGGTGCCACTAATGCAAGTTAAATACATAATGGTGCATTTTTGGCAGAAAAGTGCCAATAATGCAAGTTAAATGCATAATGGTGCATTTTTGGCAAAAAGGTGCCACTAATGCAAGTTAAATGCATAATGGTGTATTTTTTACAGAAATGTGCCACTAATGCTAGTTAAATGCATAATGGTGCATTTTTGGCAGAAAGGTGCCACTAATGCAAGTTAAATGCATAATAGTGCATTTTTGGTAGAAATGTGTCACTAATGCAAGTTAAATGCATAAAGGTAGATTTTGGCATAAAGGTGCCACTAATGCAAGTTAAATGCATAAAGGTGTATTTTTGGCATAAAGGTGCCATTAATGACAGTTAAATGTATAATGGTGCATTTCGGCATAAAAGGTGTCACTCATGGTGTAACTAAAAAGGTTAAATGATTCTCATGAAATATACGAATTATCTCAGATTTTGATAGTCATGACATGCTTATGTATGAATTATAGTTCATTTATAGTATTATGCCTCACTAAGTAAATGTGTGTTGATTTCACGCGTAGGTAAAAACAAATACTAGCCGAGTAAGGGGTGCAACAACAACTATAATCAATCTAAGGTTGACTCATCAACAACAATAGGACAATCATGTTTATTTTGAAAATTTGTTGGCATGTAATCGAATTTAATGGAAAAAATAATGCTCTGAAATATATTTAAAGTGATAATTTTTGGTAATATGTTTCAACGAATGTTTTATTTTTGTACTAAAATGTTTTGTTTTATTTTCGAAACAAAATTTTATGGGTTTTACAAATGAGTGAATGTTTTTAAAAGTCATGTAACACCTATGACTTGTGTACGGAAACATATACAGGAAATGGGTGTTACAAAAAATTCTAAGTCTTTTGCCATCTTGGATGTTAAAAATCAGTTATCTAGGATTTTTTAAGAAAAACTAACATTTTCCATGTACACCAGTAGTTTAATCGAATCAATATGTCTTTTCGGAGTTATTTTTCGACTTCGAGGGACAATTCTTATCTTTTTACAACATAAGGGTATTTTCGTAATTTTACCCCATAGGGGTATTTTCATAATTTCTCATCCAAGTATTTTCGGCATTTAACCTTTAAAGAGATAAATCAAAATTTACAGGTCCTGAGATTAATTGATTTACTGATCAAATCACTAAGCTTATATTTATCTCTTATCGATCTTCTAGTTCCTTACAAAAGTCAATCGAGTATTATTGGGTTTAATGTCTTTATATCGTATTCAATTCGATTCCATCAATAATAAACTATATGTAATTAACAAATAATTTCAGTCATGCATTAATCTATCACCAATATGAACCATAAAGCATGCATAGGCTAGTAAAGTATTACCTCTATTTTCGAGCCACGTTGGTCAAACAATTAAGCTTCATTCGATCGCTCTCACACGTAATTTTGACATCCCATAATTTCTCAGAGACAAGGCAAAACGAATTACGTTAGAAACGAAACTTACTCGGGAAAACTATTCAAATCAGATGATAAAATGCCAAAAACATCTTACCGGGTTTGAATTTTGCGAAACAGACTTCAAATTCTGACTCAGAACGTCGAAAACATAAAATATGAATTTTCAAAAAAGTTGTCTTTTTGGTCAAAGTTAATGGTCAACACAATCAAAGGCAACCCTAAGTAGGTCTACAGCTCGATTAACGTGGCTCGCCTTTGACGATTCGACTTGACTTATACGACTCGATGGAACAGTTCAGCCGGTTCAACAAACTCCCAGCTGACATATGACGCACACGGGCATGGAACGCGTGCGGCGCTTGAAGCAACTCCGGTGGTGAGATAACGAAAAAAATTTCCAGATCGGTAGATCGTTGGCTTGGATGTCTCGTGCAAATGTTACTTTATGACGGAGAGTGACGATATCTGATTTTTCAAATGGTCAAAACATCCTTTCTCTAATCTTCTTCACGGCGATGGTGGTGAAGAAGGTGACTACATTGGACGATTGGGAACGACTAGTGGCACTGATTAGTTCCGGCGATGTCGAACACCGCTGACTCATTGGTGGTAAATATCCAAAAACTCGTGGAGAACCATATTTTTCGATGGGTTTTTGAACTGTTCTCCATGTCGTTTAGCAATGATTCACGGCGGGTGAAGCTCGGGGTTATGGTCGTGTGCCGATGGCGCACACATTGGTGATAGCGATGTACAACACGACTGGCCAGACGATGGTCGATCGGAGCTCGATGGCGATGGAAAACTTAACAATTTTATGGGTTTTAGTTCTCTTTTCCCATTGAAGAAGACGATGGGGGTTTAAAATCTTATTCTACTAAATATTTAGAGATATTTCAATTATTTTACTGTATAAATAGTACCTAGTTTAGTGGTAGAGGCATAGTACACAATGCTGGATGTCACGGGGCAACACATCATATTCTCAGTCTTTTTTTCCCATACGTAAATAAATAAGTAAATCATCATTAAAGTCACTAGACTTTAAAGATTTCGACTTTCAAATGATACTCTTTATCCCGAATTCAATATAGTCCTTAATTTTCCATAATTTCCTTTTTGCTTTGAAATCTAAACTTTACTATTTATCAAGTAAATCACCAAATTACCGGAATAAAATATAACCCAAGATTTGAGGTGTGACTTTATTTTTATTTTAAATTAAAAATATGTATTTTATGTTAAAATATTTTAAAGTTAAGATAGGAGTAAAATATATTTAATAAATTAAAGTAATAATATAATATATTTAGTAAATTAAGATAAAATATATTTTTTAAAGTTTAGATAAAAATAAAATATCAGTGACACCAATGATATGTGGTATCACTCAATTGAAAAAATCAATTTATTTTAATTTATTAAAAGTAGGACTAAATTGAGAGAATATTAAATGTTAAGATAAAAACTTAAATTTATTGACTATTGGTTTCTATCCATATAAAAAAATTGGTTTTTTTTTTTGTCTAAAACAAAATATTAAAGGTTAGGATGACAGCGTTACCGTTATATAACAACCGCAATTCTAATAACGGATGCAAGTACTTTTGAGTTTCTCTGCGGGATGCAAGTATTTCTGAGTTTCTTAGGTGTATCATTGTGGATTCTTTTCGTCTTCTTTGATACAAATTCTTTGGAATGATAAGTTAGGAGAGAAGTTACAGTCGACGAAAAGTATTCGATAGGGTTCTCCTCTATCCCATTATCTATTCATGTTATGTATGGAACGTGAAGTGTAATATATTGAAGCTTGCGTGGGATTTTGATGGGCCTCAACGTATTCGACATTTTATTTGGATATTGTTGTGAGGTTGATTGCTTACTAGCGGTAAGCATTGTCGTCAGGGTTTAATTGATGGTCTATTGATATGTCATGTCTACCTTAGGGTTTAGTTGTGTATTGTTCTTTTTGTTATCAACAATGGAGGTCCTTTGTCAACACTAAACATAAATGCAACTTTTCATTTGAGAATATTCAACACTTGGGATTTCTCGTCATCCGGTTCTGATGATAACATTTCCGACGTAATCCGTAAAATGAATAATTTACAGCACACAACACTATACAAATGAAGCAACTGTGCACAGAGAGAGTTGCAGATTAAGAACAACCTTGACGCTCATTTACTGATTACAAACTCCAAAATGCATTAAAAAACTACCATCTTCAATCACGTTCTTCTTATTTTGAATTAAATCCGACAAAAAAATTCAATAACCGAACGATAAAAAAGAAAACGAGACCATCTGATGAGGATGTTACATAGAACATCCCAAACTGCAGCAACCGATGAACTGAACAGAATCCTTAACAAATCAAACCTCAGCAGTTGTCTGCTTCAAACAATCAGCATTGCACAATCCGACAGATCGTACCATTTCTCCCAGTCTGCCATTACAAGAAGTTCTAACAGTTAAGATAATGCAAAGACCAAAGTAATTGAAAAAAGTGCATTTTAGTGTTCATATATATATATATATATATATGTGTGTGTGTGTGTGTGTGTCTATGTAGGTGTATGTATTTCTAACCTGTCGAAACTATTTCTTTCTCTCTCTGGATGATCAGTGCTGTTCCTAGCTTTCGTATGGCGATCCATGCTCCTTCTCGATCTCTCTTTTTTGTCAATGCTGGCTCTTGCTTTGTCTTTACTGTCTGTGCTTAGCCTGGATTTTTCTCTGTGCCCAAAACTTGGCCTACCGTTGTCTCTATAGTCAGTGCTTGGCCTGAATTTCTCCTTGTTTTGGTCGGCATTGTTCGGAGATTGGTGGGACTGATCATTGGGTTTCGGGTCCAATCCGCTGCGTGAATGTTGAAGTTTCTCGATGGCTGATATGAACTTCTTAAGGTGCCTTAGGTACTCAGGGTAAAGTTCCAAATTACAATGGTTCCCACCTTTGAGCCACAATGGCTCATACTTCTCTTTACATAGTTCCCAAAGTTGCTTCCCATGAGAAACGTTCACCACTTCATCTTCAGTTCCCTACAAGACATTGTTAACTAATAATAACCCAGGTATCCATATAACATCAACTGTTCAAATCGAAAACTTGGCATCAAATTTCGTTTTCGAAAATGAATTCTTCGGATGAAAAGGACTCACATGAATGACCATAACAGGGCTTTCAACTAGAGGGATTTTATCAATGTTCTGCAATAGAATCAGAAAAGAGAAGAATTATTGTGACATGTTGAAATAGTAAAAGTTCTCAGTGTTAGTGAATAGAGATTGAAGGAGGCAAAAATCAAACAAACCTTGTAAATGTCGAACCATAATGTACGCTTGACCGGATACATGACACGAAGACCAGACAAGATTGGACTGTGCAGAATTACACCCCTTAAGTGAGGCAACCGAATGGCTAATTCTAAAGCAGGTCCACTCCCAACTGATTGACCATATAATATCGTGTCTTCCTGTTTTACTCCATACATCTCCAAACATTTGTAAGCTGCCTCTATGTCTGCATATGTGTCTTGCTCACTTGGCTATATATATATATATATATATATGTACACCATCATCAGAACAGCGACTCTAGTCTCAATCAATATAAAAGTTAAAAATGCACCAAGATTAACATGGGATTTTGTTTTTGTTCATATTCATGTATCTTAGGCTTGTCCTAGCTAAGATTGATCCTTAGTTTTCCAGAAAATCCAACTTTGAAATGAATAAGAGATGAAAAGATTATACCTTTCCAGTGGATTGTCCATATCCGGAGTAATCATATCTGCATCAACACAAAAATAGAAAATCATATGGTTCTCTTCTTGATTCTAAATTTGCAACTTTTTCATTTCATTTTTCAGGGTTAATCTGAAGGGGAAAAAACAGTGAACATTTGATGTAAAATAGTAACTGACCCCAAAAGATTAACATTCAGATGAACACTAAGCTCAGTGAAAGTATGATACATCTGACCAATATCAGCAGCATTTCCATGGGAATATAGCACTGTCAACGAAGCTGATGGGTTATTCACATACATAGCCACAATCTCATTCCCCTTACTGGTTCTCAGCTTCAATAGGTCCACATTATCTCTCTGGTAATTAACATCTGAGAACTTCATTTTCCCAGTTGCTTCGTCCACAATTATGTTGTAGGAAGGCGGGTTCGGCGGGAAAAATGCAAACTTTGCTGCCATGGATGATGTTGCATTCCCCATTTTCGATCCAGAAGCATAAAAGAAGGATACAATTTGATGGAGATTAAATGTTTTTGGTGTCACAAGTTGACGAAAATTGCATGGTGGGCTATGCTTTGAATTTGAGACTGGTTTTTGTCTAAAACACTAGCAAGAGAACAAAGATTATAGTGATTAGTGAATGAAATCAAACAAGAAAGTGATGACAAGATTCTGAGATTTGGTTTCTGTTTTTACTTTTATGTTTGGATCTTGAGAAAACTTTGGCATGAAAATGGAGATTAAGAGAGGAAGTAAACATGGAAAGCAGAAAGTAAGAGGGAGGAATTTCTCGTCTGTTATTAAGAGTGATTTCCGGCTTCAAAATGGATACAAAGGTTTATTTTCTAATATTTTTTTATTAATTTTTAGATTATGGTTTTATTTATTTGAAATTTGAATTGCAAATTTGCAATTATATGGCTTCTTGCTATGATACAGTGGGCCAAGGTGTTTATTGATAATTCAACGGCACATTTGTGACAAGTTCCATCTTCCCTGTTTTCTTGGCTTTATTGGACAATTAGGCTCCATTAAAAAATCCCCTCAACTAACTTCAAGTTATTTAGTGTTTCATTGCAATCAGATGGACACTTTAATCTATTTGAAGGGTGATAAATTTGGTTAAATCCCAAGTTCTAATTGCAGAAACAAAACTGCTAGATTTTAGGCTTTTGCCATTTCTCATTACCAAAGCCTAAACATAGCCTTTCAATGCGAAGGCTAGAGGGTCCAAATTAAGCCTTCCTTGATGAGCACATTTTCATTTCCGTAACCTAAATAGATTCATCCAGAGGACGTTGCTTTCATGACTGTGATTTTAAAATTTTTATCAACAGCAAAAGTAGATTAATGATGAAGTGGTGGGGATAATCACTAAAGTTATACTTTAAAAGAAATTTGTCTGATGTGTTAGGTGGATCCATTTTTGGAGAGATGAGAGGTAACATTCATGATTTCATATTACTATATTTTATTATCTTTTGTTTGACTTTGAAGCATCAACTAGCTTATTTTAGGTCATTTGAAGCATCCACTTTATTGGATTTTCTCTCCTGGCTCACAAGTTTTGATCTCTTCTCAATGGATCCATGGCCTCATGCAATTGAAATATTTTCAATACCAACATCAGTAACTCAGTATCATTACACTGTGTTGGTTTGGAACAAGAAAGCTTGTTTCTTTATGATTGCTTCATTAATTTGCCGTCTAAATGTGTACAACATCCTTGTTAAAGCAAACAGGTTGTTTACAAATTGCAATTAAAGATTCCAGATGGATGTCCTCCTGCATGGAAACAAATGGTCCACCAGACAAGAATCAATTACAGCCAGCAGCAAAAATCTATAAATATTTTTTGGTTGAAACCAAAGTGTACATGTATCGTAAATACTGTACGTATCTGCTGTTCCCTAGACTCTGGATATGATAGCAAGTGATAACTAACTTGGAGGCTTAAAGATAAACGCAGTCCGTTATACTTTCGTTCACTTTCATTAAGTCATAACACATCGACCTGACTCCACATCAATGAAGCTTTGTAGTATCTTTACTTCTTGGTCTCGGGTCTCCAGTCTCCGCTGCTTATTTGCCACACTCAATTAGCAGGATAGTTCAGCAATTCATCTTCTTCTCCCCAAACCGTATTTCCTCATCTCTGTTTATCCACAGAGCATATCAACCAACTACCATGTCCACTGATACCATCCCAAACCCCAAACCACGAATATCCTGGTCCTCCCATACCCAGGCCTAGGGCTGCATGCTGGCTTTTCTTGACTTCAACAACCCATTTTTCCTGGAGCAATAAATCAGAAAAAAATGGAGCTTTGTTCAAGTTTGTCGATGCTATTGTATTATCCAAGAGGTTACATGTATGCTTATGCCCTTGCCTGTGTACATCTGCGCATGGATACATAAAAGTAGCAATACTAGTAGATAGCATAATCCTTGATTAAAATATATGATATCATACTTGTTCATCTTTTTGCATAAAACTTCCCTCAACTGGTGGAGGTTATCACGAAACAGAAAAAAAAAAAGTTCTGAGCTAAAAGGAAAAGAGTGAGGCCCTATGGATTTTAAGACTATGATGAAACTCGAAGGAAATTGAATCGAATGGAGGTAGCACTATTAGATTGGTCTGGAGAAATCTAGTCAATAAACCACAAAATTCTATTTTCAAACTACATAGGACGAGGTATTCAGGTTTTGAATCCCAATGAGACACTACGTTCAATTCAAACATTAAATGCACCAGTAATATTTACTTGAGAGATAAGTAACTCATCCTGTATTGTAGGGCAACTCTAACGCATTAATGTGGAAAACTGCAGACATGCAGAAATAACCTTATTATTATCTTGATTCTCTATCCTCCATTTTCAATTATAACCCGAAGTAGCAAATCAGAAAGAAATACCTCTTCTAGGCCATAAAATAATTTCAATCTTTGTTCAAACCACTTGTTTATTTGAGAAAGAGAAGGCCTAGATTTTTCTCATTTTTTTTCATTTTTATTGGAATTCTATTGGCTCCTAAGATGTTTTCTACTTATTTTGAAATATCATATGAATGAACTATAGTGCATGGCTAGTAAAAAAACAGGTAGGAAAAAAAAACACTTGCCATTATCAAAATCAACAAAATGAAGGGTATATTGTTTGCAAAATGAGCAGCCTGCCAAGAAGTTGGCATCTCCAAAAGCTGATTACTCTTGAGCACCTGAGATTGAATTTTGCCGATGTAAGCTTGAAATCATGCTAATTAACTTCCATGCTTCATTTCATCCTCTAAGTCACCTAGCTAAGCAGACATATTTATACATCTAGATAAATGCACAAAAAAAAGGAAACAGTTCAATGCAGTTAAAATAGCTTCAATGAGAACTTTATTGGGAAAACAGAAAAAAAGAGGAGACATTCAACCATGACCAAATGAATTCATAGACATCAAGAATTATCAAAAAAAAAAAAATATCATGTAGAAAAACATTTACCACCCCAAGAAAGGGTTTACCTCTTCGTATCAAACACTCCGTGCATTCATGAATAAAGAATGCAAACCACGTTAACCATCCCGATCTTTATATTATACATGACAATTAATAAGGTATCCCCCGGCCTATTCTTTCATATACCATACCATTCATGAGTGAAGGATGTAGAATAGCTTTACACTTCCAGTGATTAGTTAAATTTGTTATGCATTTGGCAGCACTTATTTTCATTCAAAGCACAATTCCTTGGGGTATTACAGATAAATGAAAAAGCATAACTAATTGGGAAAGAAATTGTGAGTGGTAAAAGCTTTCTGATGCCTTAAACAAACCTTCAAGCATTATGTAACTAGCCTTTTTATCAGCTTAACTGTTCTTTATTGACAATAAGAGCGGATAAAAGCATTTATTTGTTTCATATGGAGCGGTTAACTTAAATCAGCAGTGAAAAAAATGCAAGGAACATATATGCAATTTCATATACCTTCAAGCAGCAAACCTCAGCACCAATTATGCTGGTCCTTCTCAATGAAAATATGTTTTTTGTTATTCCTGAGGAAGTAAGCCAGACTTGATTGTCCATGCAAGCATTTCATAAACAGACGTGAGATCACCACATTGCCGGTAAGCATTGAACAAAACATCACAAATTTCTTGATCTGGAGAAATTCCATGAGATAACAAGATACAGAAAAAAGGCCGTGCCACGGTTATCAAACACCTTTTGCACAATCTATTGATAACTGCACTATAATATTTTATTGAAATTTCAAAGCCCTTCTCCATCATTAGGCGGAAGAACATGAATACACTGTACACATCACCCTTCACACAATGTGCTTTGATTATTTGGGTGTAAGCAACCTTGCTCATTTTGATATTTTGTTCATGAAGAGAAATTAGTAGCTTATTAGCATCCTTAAGATTACCATGTACACAGACCATTTATGAGAATGTTATATGTGACTCGAGTGGGCTCAAGACTATTCAGCCACATTTCATTGAGTAACCTAAAAGCCGTTTTAATGTTTCAAGCTTTGCATAAGCACTGTATGATAGTATTATATGTTACTTGATCAGGGTTGAGACCCATATAACACATATCCTGAAGCAATCGGATAGCTTCTTGCAACTTCTGCTGTTTACAAAACCCTTTGATAATTACAGTGCAAGTAACATGAGTTGGCCTAATACCTTTGGCATGCATCTCTTGAAGCAACTTAAGCATGCAACGCATATTTCCATCTTCACAATATGCATTCATAAGTGTGGTGTATGTCACAACAGTTGGTTCCAAGCCATGCAGCCTAATAGTCTCCACTAATCTTCTAGCCTCGGCTAAGTTTCCATTTTTGCAGAACCCATAAATGAGAGAATTAAAAGTCACTGTAGTAGGAGTAATCCCTTTTTCTGTTATTATCTTATATAGCTCTAGAGCCTCCTCAAGATTTCCCTGCCTCACATACCCATCAACCATAATATTGTAGAGAACAATGTCATCTGCCCAGTCATTCATTATCAGAGAATCAAAATACATTCTTGCCTCCAATATCATCCCATTCTCACATAAACTCAAGAGAATAGCCCCGCTTGAAAGAGAACTTGGGGGAATGCCCTTTTTCTTTGTATAGTTGAAGAGCGGTTTGCACCTCTCCTCGCTTGCAGAACCCATGAATAAGGATGGAATATGTTACATGATCTGGCTCCAAGTCTTGCTCTTCCATTTCATAGAACAACACCAGTGCCTCATGAAGCTGTCCGATCTTACACAAACTGCTGAACAATACACTGTATAAGAGGACACTCAACCGTAAACCACATGAAAGCATCTCTTCTCGCAACTTTAATCCTTCCTTGACATTCCCATTCTGACAATGGCCACATATGAGTATTGTATATGTAACAACATCAGGATTCGACCCTTTATCTAGCATTCTTTGAATGAGTATCCAAGCCCCATCCATCTGACCATGCAGACGGAACCCTTTTGTGAGAATGTTATATGTTACCATATCAGGCTCTACACCATGCTTCTTCATGTCACTTGTAAATTGTCACACATCTTCCATGGAACCAGCTATACATAGTCCGTGAATAAGAATATTATAACTATATGCATCAGGAAGTAATCCATACTTAAGCATCATGCAAAAAAATGACTTTGCAATATCAGTGAAACCTAGTTTGCAATATCTTGACATAATTGTATTTAATGAAACAATAGAAGGCCCAATCCCCTTTGCTTCAGTCTCTCGCAGGAATGAAACTGCATCTTGTAGCTTGGA